CTCATGATCGGCGGGATTCGCTTGCCTGCGGCTGCTATACAAGCAGTCTTGGTATTCTCGACCTCAAACACTTTGGTTGATTTATTCGAAAAGTTACACTTGGAACCACTTCTTCTTGACTGAAGTTGGAATATCAGATTTAATAAATTACTGCTTTTGCATTTTAAGTAGTTGCTGCTTTCCCCTTTCATTTCACCATAAAGAAAGCACATATACGATGCGCCAACGGCATAACTGTATTATTATTGCTGTAATTAAGCTGTGCACACTGCATACAACAAGATGAGTAAAATACGCAGGATAAATCGCTTCGTGAAGAGTTTGCTGCCTCGGATTCATTTAATTTAATGATGTGTCATTTGCACGACATTTCGACAACATAGCATCTGTATTCCGATGCTGCAAGTCCAAGTGAAGCACATGTATGCTGAAGTTTCTGTGCAACTGCCACCATTTCCATTTCGCTCGTTTCTGAGCTCTCCTTGTCGCTGAAACTTCAAAACGCCTTTTAAACGAATTCGCATTTTGGATGCAAATGGGAAGATGAAAGTGAATTTTTATTACTAATTTGCGCTTGTTGGTACCGCTGAAACATATCTGTTTTGACCCCCTAGAATGCGAGTCACGTAATCAAAAACCCAGGCTGGAACGCACCGGACGGGCGCGTGCGATCATATATTTTGCACCGGACTTGAATTACTCAGGTCATTAACTGTATGAATGGCTGCTGTTTTGCACCTACCTTTTGCGTTCACTAACATAAATCATCATAAGTTTTGCAAAGTAAATGTACAATTTCCATTTAATAGTCGTTCTTTAAAAGTAACCTAGTTGTTCAGTGAGAAATTTTCTCGGCAAGACTTTTAAGTGCCCGTACGTAAGAGCCACGCATATCTCAAGTCTGAATTTGAAATATTTAAATTGTACTCGGACAAGGAGAAAAAATCAAAAAGAAATCGAAAAAAAATCAAAATCAAAAAAAAAATCGGTAAAGACGCACTGAGACACACACAGAGGCAATCCCTCGACAAAGTGCATAAAAAATAAGAAATATATGTAATTGATGCGAAACTGTTTTACTGATTCAGGAACTAAGGGAGAAAGTGTGATTAAGTGCATATCATTTTACCGCTCACTCTTCGCTCTCGGCCACCTTTCCACCTCTGCGTTATTTTTCCATCCCGCACCATCATCACCGCTTTATTTCGGTGCAAAAATTGAACTGTTTTTGCATCCAATTTTTTTGCATTGTTTTTATTTTACTCATGCATTTGTCGGGACTGGATTTCTCGGGACGGTTATTTTTTTTGGGTGTGACGAAACATTCCAGGCTTCCGGATCACAGATGACATATTGATCACCAATAAACTGATCAGATTAATGGCTTCGTTTTCAAAGCAAAATTCGCTGAATAATACCGCTGGCGCTTTAAAAAAAAATGATAAATAACTCAGAAAATTTTTCCGTTTCTGTATTTAACTTAGTATAAAGGCCTTCGTTTGTGAGTCAACTTTTCAAAACTGCCTATGGAGGTATTTATTTTTAAACACTAGAGTTACAATCCTGTCACGATAAACTTAGAAAAACGTTTTGCACATTCTCGGCAGATAACGTCAGTTGTTCCAAATCGATGATCCAAGCCTCTCCGCTTTCTATTTTTTTATCTCTTCATTTAATTTTTTGTTGTGTTTTACTTTTTGTTGACTCACACACATTTGTTTCCCAAAAACCACGAAATTTTTGCACAGT